TCTGATATTTCCCTCCTGCAGCTTCTGTAATGTCCTGTGACCGACGTTTGATGCAATAATACCTTGAACTTGTCAGCGAATTTGTTGCGTATTAATGTGTAATTTTCTTAGTGTGCGACACCCTGTGGATGGGTTTTAGAACCATCACTCTGTTTCTTTGGCCAAACAAAAAAATGTTTGAAGGAAAGAGTTGTGCTATATTTACTCCTTGTGTAAATAATATGATGTTATAATTTTCATATTATATATGTATGAGCAAAAAAAAAAATTCATTATATTTATATAGAATTGTAGAAGCTATGAGACCAAAAGAGAAAAGGTAGATTTGGGATAGACAGTAGTTTCTCACTATTATGGCGCAGTTTTTAATTTCTAATGTGTCTTATATGTAATAACCCAAAAAAAAAAAGTAGAAAAAAATTTATATTAAGGATTTTGATTTTATTTTTTATTAGTTTTTGGAAGGAACGGTTGTCGAATGGAATATGTGCTAACAAGTCATTTGTCCTTCCTGGGTTCCAATCTTCTTGGCGGAAAGAAAGGTATTTTTTTAATTTTATTTTGCTCTGAGCTTTGGTTAAAATTATTATAAAGTCCCTTTAAAATAATAATAATATAATAGCACATCATATTATTTTTAATGCTCTTTTTCCCCCATTTTCTCGACTTCTCCACAGCAGAGGGAGAGCCTAGTTCTTCACTCTTTGTTCTCCCTCTACCTTCCTTTCCGTTCTGTCGTCGGTGACTGAGTGCCGGAGTCTTTCTCTTCATCTTCTTTTGCGACTGACGCCGACGGCCTTCTTCCCTTTCCGAGCTAGCTGGTTCGTGTCTGGACTGGGGAGAGCAAGAGATGTCTGTCGCCTTCTTCCACCTCTTTGTAGCTCGCCGCCGCTGTGGGTAAATGTCAGAGCCCTACCCATCACCTGAATCGTGAGTTCCTCTTCCTTTTGCGCCATCGATTTCCCCTCTTCTTTCCTTAGTTCACTGTTCTTCTCGCTCCTCTGTTTCTAGCATGCTCTGGGTGCTTCAATATTTTACTATGGAATTAATTTATCGTTGAAAGAGGTTCGGATTGAGGCCGTCCCTCGTCCCCTGCACCACTGTTGTTTTTCTTCTGCCACTGCCATTGGGTCCTTTATTCATCAATTTCTTTTGCTTCAAGTGCGTCCGACTCTCTCCTTTTTCTTCTTGTTTGTTCTGTTTGTGTGTGTCATTAATTGGTGAAGACTCTGATTTTCTTGATTCTACTACTGGTATGATTGAATAGGGAAGCAGGGATTTGGGCAAGCTAAAATTTTTGAGATTATTTAATAGTGTGGATTTAAATTTTATTTGAGCTTATTTTGATTTGGTTAAAAGAATAAAATTTAGAAAGCATTATTAATCTAAGTACTGATAGTAAGAAATTTCAGAAAGGATATCAAGGAAGAAGAGGCTTGGTGTTTGTTTGAATTTTGATGCACATGAAACGTTTGGTTAAATGCCTATTAGGAGGGGTTTTGTTTGAATATGTCTTTTCTAGGATTTCATTAACTCTTGTGAGAAGTATGTCTAGTTTGGGTGTTATTGATTCAAAAACTTATCTTGAATATTGCAAAGGAGTTTAATTATGAAATTAATATATAACTAATTGAATTTTGGGGAATTATAGGGTTGTTAATAATTGTTGGATAAGGGATTTAAATGTTAAAGAGCCTTGTCAGATGGTTTGAAAATTATGCACATGAGGTGTTTGACATAAGGTCTGAAAGAAAATCATGTCTCGTTTAAATAGTTAGTTATAACCAATGTGATATGAGATAAATTGGTGATAAACATTAATGTTTGGAAAACGTTAAGACATGAATTCTGGTGCTTTTAGAGTCTTGAATGGTTCTAGTGATTGGGGTTGCATTAGTTGTGAAAATGAGTTTATATACTTATAGCAAGTTAATTAAAATTTCATGTGAATATATTCTTATAGGGTGTGTAGAAGAAGAGGATCTTGATAATTGTTGAAAAGGAGACATTCTTGAGTTTTGGGAACTTGACAGATAAGTGAATAGCGTCCCTATTGATTTACCAAAAAATTATTTTTCTAAAATATTTTATATATATATATATATATTGTAGAATTATTTTAATAACAATTTTGTTAAGTGTGGGATATTATTTATCAGCTTTGGTAATTCTAGTTTTCTCAATAAATGCAAGCAATTTACTTTCCTTGAAATCTTAACTAAACATATTTATATATGTAATATACATATTTGATGTTATGATTTAATCTTGTTTATCAACTACTACTATATTTGAAAATTCTTGCATTCCATTAAATTTTATGAAAGGAAGCAGAAATATTATTTCGGATAAATCTTTGCAAGTATTTATTTTGTTAATACTAATTGATCTCACAGTTAGAAAACATTTATTTATTATGATTCATGTATGAAAAAGCATTGAAGATATTATTTTATGATGATTATATTAAAAAGAGCAAAAAAAATTCTTTATCTTATAACCCATGCATGCTTGATTTAAATTTGGGAACTGATTTCAGAATGTTGGTTGCTAACGATGGTCCTACTAGCCTTTGGCCCGCCATGATATACCAAGTGACACTACTGTCGAATAGCACCAAAATTAATAAAAACTAGATTTTGCAGTAAAGTGCAACCTAGGTCGTCTCCCTAAGAGTCAATAGAGTAACTATTTAAATTATGATTATGAAAAGGTAAATAATGGGGGGGTTTTTTATGATGAAATTAAAAACTAAATTATAAATAAATAAATAGAGGAAATTCAATTAAGAAAATTACCGACAACAAGCAGCGCAATCAATCACAACCCAATCACCTAAATTTAACCTTCCTCGTCTACAAAATAAATTAATTTTATTCAACTTTATTATTCTGGTTTCATTATAATATTTCTCAAATTATCATTCAAGAATTAAACAAGAAGTTAAGTTATAGATTAATTGAAATCTCCTTTAACCCACAACCTAACAATTGTTTTATAGCCACACCCAAAAACAAAGCATGGATAATCACCCAAGCCAAGCCAAATTACTCTTACAATGCTATATCAATCGATTATAGCAATTAAAACCTCAGATAAAATTTATAACTCAAAAATTATGCAATAAAGCTACTCTAATCAGTAATAGTAATTAAAGCATAAAATTTAGAGGTAGAGAGAAGAAGAGAAAATTGGAATAAAGCTAAAATAAAATCTTTCCTGAATATTAAAGACTCTGATTAAAATTTAGGATCATGGTTTGTGATTGATCACACCAAAAAAAAATTAGCTCTCCATAGAATTAAAAATCAAACAACATGAAATGAAAAATTGAGAAGCCATCACCCAAGAAATTGGAAGAAGGAAAGACGAATGGCGATCGCTGCTCTGTTTCCCTTCTTTCGTTTTTTTTTCCCAGATCGTGCTTCCTCTCCGTCCCCCATCTATTCATATATATATATATATATATGAAAAGTGGACCCTAATTAAAAATTACACTAAATAATCCAAAATAAATTCAAATAAAATTTTAAAGATTTGATTCTTGATTTGATCTCCAAGCATGCCCATATTCTTCTTATCCAAAATATTCTTCATCAATATCTTTCAAATTGAATCTAGAAAATCTGCACAAATAAAATAAAATTAAATAGCACCTGTGCAAAAATATTAAAGATATTATTTATATTTTAAATCAAAGATTTAGTTAGTTAAAATTCCAAAACTGAATATTAGCTAATAAAATCAAATAATATCTAATTAAACTCAATTAGCCTTAAATAAATAATTAAAAGTCTAAATTAAAAGAATAAAAATATATAAAATTATCATTTATCACCAAGCTAGTAGGGTATTTGTTTGTAAAAGGTTGCTAATTTCGTGCGAAGGCCAACGCACATGGATTGGAGGGATGATAATTCTTGAGTACTGTACTCACTTATTTTTGTGGGCCTTAGGCTTACACTTGATTTATGGCTCCTGCTGCGCTTGTTTCATGACTTTCAATAGCGCGTGATTGGTTATTTACCCTCATGAATTATGTGTTCACACTTATTGGTTATTTACTCTCCTAGACTTTATATCCACACTTGTTAATTGGTCTAATTAAGTGCCACAAATTATGAAGCTTTGGAATTTCTTGTCTTTTAAAATGATTTAGTTAAATAAGCTATTTGATTGATTGTGCTTAGATTTCTCTTTATAAGATGAATTATATAATTAAGTTGTTTAAGGCAAAGGTCATCACTTGGAAAATTAAACTTGATGTCTCTACTACCCTTAATCAACCTTGTATCTATTTGGTTTACATATTTTTATAAGATTATTTGAACTATGCAACTTGTTTTATTTTTTTTTATAATATTGGTTATTACTGTGAAATTCATAGTTATTTTATAAATATTATCTTCCTTTATTACCTGCAAATTTAAATTGGGACATTATTCATTAAAAAATTACTTTTGGTCTTTGATTCATTAGATGATGTTGAATCTCTTGTTGACTTCTAAGGGTCCTATAGCTGAGGCAAGTGGAGATTTGATTGAAATTATTTTCTTTTAATGTAATTATAGAATTGATGTATTTTATCTTGAAAATATAGTTAGATGCTTTAGATAGACTATAATTAAGGTTCTGTTATCATTATATACTTTGTCTGTTGGCTTATTGTGATATTTTGTATAAAGTTGTATTGTAGAATTATTGAGAGGTCTTAAATACAGGTGAGATCCTGCCAAAATTTATGCAAAACTTATGAAATCTTTTGTTTGAATTAATTTCTTGAAAAATGGTCTAATTATATGGTCTTAAAGTTAAATTTCTAAATCTCAAGCCTTAGGATGTGTATTTATACATGTATCCTTTGTCCGTCATGCTCAATTTTTAGGGCGTGACAATATCATAATAAATTAACCTGTTGATCTTAAGATATTACTGCGTCTCCACTAATGGAACCAGCATCCAGTTTCAATTTCCCTTTTTAATTTCTAATTGGTCTTAGCCTACTCAAGGACGAGGGGCTCCTCAGGTTCATCAGCTCTCAATGGGCTCAGACTACTAAAGTTCCTTTGTTCTCTAATCTTGAATAACAAATCAACGAACTTTTCTAGTTAGTATGTTTTCTTAGTCGTTATTGCATCAGGACAGTTTCTCCTGTGAAAAAATTCATGTCCTCCCCACCCCACCTTTTAAATGATGCATACCTCAATGTACGTATAGGATGAGTATCTTTAATGACATACGCACAGGCAATAATAAGGAAGAAGAACCATAATTTTTTTAACTACCTTTAGTATGAGGGTCATATGGGTTATGTTTTGATTGAATTCCCCTCAACTTCCATCTAGGTTCTCAAAACTATACGTGATTTTTTTTTTGATTTTAAAACTCAAAATGTGTTTATTTTTTACTATTAACATAATTTATAAATTTTATTAACTCTAATTTGTCCGTGAAACAAGAAATAGAACTCATTACTATCGCAGAGGGGAAGAAGATATTGAAGTCATTGAGGAAGTACAGATATCACAAAAATAAAAATTATTGGTCTTCCTCCTTGATGTAATAGACCATAAACAAAATACTAATTTTTTTTATTTATGTATATAAAATATTTTTAATTTGTTTGACAGAATTATTTGCACAGGTAAAAGTCAAATATTTGAAAAGAAAAAAAAATATGCCTATGTAATGACAATTAAAGCATTTGTAAGTAAATCAAAATGAAAACAACTACCCAGCTTCCTCTTATTATTTAAAGAAAAATCCCAACAATCCTTGCCCATTCAAGAGATTAATATTCTATAAATAAGATATCCAAATAAAGTTCTAATGCATACAACGTTTTTCTTTAAAAAAATAAATTGAAGATAGCTAAAGCTCTGATGTTCACGTCAGAAATCCCAAATCTCAAATACTTCATATGTTAATATAGCAAACACCATTGCTATTATTTTACAAGACTTCATGCGCCCCAGATAAAACATACTAAAGAAATAGTAAATAAAATCATTCAACTAATGGTGCCTCTAATATCTTACACAAACATGATCTTATTTTATTCAATGACACCACAACATCAATCATAGTAGGTCGTGCCTTGGGTAAATTGGCACAACAGTTTAATGCCATCTCAAAAATTGATGATATATGTGGTAATACATTATCAATATTTTGATTGTCATTGGGCAGCAAATCAGAGTCTAGAATCTCCATAATTGAATATGGTGTTGATTTACTAACCCAATCTTTCATACTCATACCTTGAACAAACATCTCATCTGTTGGCTTTTTTCTTGTAAGAGTTTCCATAAACAAAATGCCACAACCATATACATCTCCTTTCACAGATACAGCTCCCTTTGAACCATACTCTATATATCAATTTGAACAATTAGATAAAAAAATCATGACAAAAAAAAAAAACAGAGAGAGAATGTAAGGTTTGTGGTTAAGCTTATATTTGATTTCATTAATACAAGTCTTCACATGTTAACACTTTTGAAAAAAAACGAATAAAAGAAAGTTGCTCAATGCATTACTATGCTTAAAAAAGGTAAGTTTTCTACATTGGTGGCTCATCAAACCAACATAGAAAAGACATGAATCAAATAACAAAAAGAAAAGAAAAAGAAAAAAAGGAAAAGACATGAATCAGACATAGAAACTTTTTAATTAAATCATTACCTGGTGCCATGTAGCCAATTGTTGCCAAAGTTTTGGTACAAATTCCATTTTGTCTTTCCCCTAACAATTTGGCAATACCAAAATCACCAAGATGAGCCACTATATCTTCATCCAACAATACATTACTTGGTTTTATGTCACAATGAACAACTGATTTAGATGAACCATGATGAAGATATTCTAATGCAGCTGCTACATCGATCAAAATATTCAGCCTTTGCAAAATATCTAAACAATTTCCATGAGAGTGCAACCATCTGTCAAGACTCTTGTTTGGCATGAATTCCATGACTATAGATTTAAAATCATAATTTGAGCAAGTGCTAATGATCTTAGCAAGATTGCGGTGACGTAAATTGCGTAACACGTCACACTCAATATCAAAACTCCTTAATGCTTCTTCCAAGTCTGAGTTAAATACTTTAACAGCAACTATTTTTTCATTTGATAGATTTGCTTTGTATACTGATCCATAACTTCCACAGCCAAGAAGATTACTCTCATCAAACCCATTTGTTCCTCGTAGAAGTTCATAATAGGATATCCTCATTGGTGTCTCTAAATTAATTAAATCCTTATTGGTTAAGCCATTAACATCTCTTTTATGCTTTAGAAAGACGGTGCATGAAACAACCAAAAGGACAACAATAATAGGCAATGAGATTTTCAATAGCATCATCACTTTAGATGATATGTGCTTGTCTTCTTTCCTACATGATTGGACTTGTAGCTGAGGCTTCCCACAAAGATCTTTATTCATCATAAAAGATCTAGAAGTAAAATTTTGAAAAGGCCCACCATTTGGAATTTCTCCATGCAATAAATTGTGGGAAAGATTAATGTACTTTAGATGGAGTAGTGACTCTAAGGATTTTGGAATCACACTAGACAAATAATTTTCAGAAAGATCCAAGAACTCCATGTTAATCATGCCACTAAGCAATTCAGGAATAGGCCCTTGTAATTTGTTATGGGCCAAAGATAAGTTTTGCAATGTTTGCAAGCCACCAATAGTTTTAGGGATGGTTCCTAAAATTTGATTTCTTGACAAGTTCAATACTATAATTGCTCTCAAGTTTGACACATCAGATGGAATTGTTCCACTTATTGCATTGGAGGATAAGTCTAAGACCAAGATATCTTTCAAACTCCAAAGAGAAGAGGGTATATGAGAAGTCAATTTGTTAGAGCTGAAATCCAGCTTCCGCAAAGAAGTATTCCCAAGACACCTTGGTGCCTTTCCCGAAAACATGTTGTTGGCAAGAAACAACTCACTTAAACTTTTGATTTGGCATAGCTCTCTTATAATGGACCCTTGCAATCTATTGTTACTGAGACTTAAATGTTGAAGGCCTCGTAATTTGTTAACTGTACAAGGAATGAACCCACTCAAAGAATTTCCTTCAACATATAATGCCATCAAGTTTGTTAACTTTCCAATTGCATTGGGTATAGCTCCAACAAATTTATTCATCTTCAAATCTAACATATTGAGGTTAGAGGCATTTGAAACGCTATTTGGGATTAGTCCATTGAGTTCATTTTCCCCCAGCCTCAATTGCTTTAGGTTGGGAAGGTCAATTCCTAAATATGATGGGAGCATGCTAGAGAGAAAATTCTTTGCAAGAGAGACACGAGTCAATGTTGAGATGTTTAATATACTGGAAGGAAAAGGTCCTCTAATATAATTGTCATACATATCTAATAATTCAAGTTTATGGAGCTTGCCAATGTCTTTGGGTATACAACCTGAACACAAAAGTATACATAAGAACATTTTCACAAGATAATGGACTAGCTAGCAGTAAAGAATATTAAATATTTTTTTTTGTTTTATTATATACAGAGCATGCATATGTATGGAATATCTTTATATATACATCATTTTATACTACAAAACCTACACATCATATGATGAGAACAAATCTACAAACATTAGTTGCCGTAACTTCGATTTTTTGTCATGCTAATCAATTAAGTATTGTAAAGAATAGTTAGTTCCCATGTAATTGATGTGAATGTTACGTTAAAATTAAAGCATAAATGCAAAACTTTTTTTTTTTTTTGCTATGCAATTATCTAAGTACAATGGGTTGATTTTCAGCCAAATTTACTGGCATGTGAACGTTGAAGAACATTAAATAAGATGACAAAATTTATCTCAGCAAAATCCATCACAAACTTTAATAAGAAAAATATATAGTTTTTTATCTTTAGAATTGTAGTCCACTCGGGTCAAGGTTTCTGAAATTTTTTCATTAAAGGAATCGATCCTGAAAATTGTACGGTCAATCTTGATCCAGGTTCGTAGAGATGACATGTAATGATGTTTGACAATAGTAGGGATTTTGATCAAACAATAGTTATACCACTTTAGATAAACTATATGTTTTTCTTATTAAAGTTTGTCAAAGACCTTGATCAAAAATTGACCACAGCTCTAATGACTAAAAAGTATCTTTATTTCTCATTTTAATATCATAATAAATATCTTGCAAAAAGACCTTATCCTAATTTATTTAATTTATTGAAAGTAGTTTAAGTATAAGCGTTTGGAAACTAAACTTTGGTGCGCCTATTATATTTTTCACATAAGTTGTTTAAATGAAAGTGCTAGATGTTCGGAAAAGGTAAATATACAAAGGACGCATACTCACATAATTAATTGATAATGATATATACCTGTGAAAGAGTTGAAATCCAAATATAATTCTTTTAAAGATGTGCAGTTACTTATTGATTTTGGAATGCTTCCCTATAATTGATTCATAACAACATTAAAGATTTCCAGCAAAGGGAGTTGATGGCACATTTCTTCAGGCAAATTGCCATTTAAATGATTACTTCTAAGGTTAACCACTCTCAAAGAAGGGATGTTTCATAGAAATGAAGGAATTTCACCTGAAAAAAAAAAATATTCAATTTGTTTGATGGTTAAGACAAACAAGCTTATACTTAAGGAATGAAAATATCTTCAATCAAAACTTTTGAAGGCAATATAGAATAAGAACTAAGTTTATCACCCCGACCAAGCTGTATAAATAATACACCAAATTTCATTGAAAGCATAACATTAAGGGACGGGTGCATTAAAAGGAGTTTGCTGTTAGAAGCTCTCTGAATGCTCTTTAACACTAAAAAGATATAGATTCCATGAAAAGAATAAAAATAAGATATAATAATAGAATAAAACATGTAAAGCTTTATGAAATCGATCATATTAATTTTCATGAAATCTTCTAAGAGTTCATAAGAAATATGATGTGAATATAGTAGAGAGAATTAAAAAGTATCTTTTTTTTATTTGAGAATTGGATGTATCATCAAAATTACTTTGCTACAACACTCTTTTTGTGCAGAATAGAGAGTGTTCGCACTATATATAAAAACAGCACAATCTACTTTTAAAGATTGATGAGCCTTCTTGATCCATTTGGATTAATATACAATTATAGCAAATTGGATGACACTTTTATTAAAAACACAAAAATTGAGAAATACCAAAATAAAGATAGGAGAAGACAATTGAGATAAAATCAGGTTCCTCTACATGGTCCTTGAAGGATTATATCTAGCAAACCAAATAGACTAGTTTTGAACAAAGATCAATTATAGATATCAAAAATAATCTACAATACATCTGACAAATTGTTATAAAACGAACTCAATAATTCAAGTGAAGATATGTCAAAAATTGTTGAAATTTAATTTCACAGAGCTTAGTATTGAGAATATCCATAAAAACAACTTGGATATAAAAGTTATATCAACAGAGTTATAAAACAAATTCACAGATCATAGTATTGAGAATATCTCATTAGTATGCATTTTGTTATTAATTTCATAGAGTTTTGTGTTTGTTTTCTTTACTATTATATAGAGTTGATAATTCAGGCAAGATGAGCTTATTTAGTCTCAAACATATCAAAAAACCTATATAGTCAAGCCTGGCCCTAATGCCTCAAGGTTTCAGGCTAATTTGGGCTAGCACGAATATTCGAATTGTTAAATATTATTTTATTTTATTCTTTCATTTTTAGATAATTTCAATTTTTATTTCAAAAAATTACTGTTTTCAATTTTGATCTTATTTTAATATTATTTTATAAATAAATGAAAAGAATTTGAGTATTTGGCCAAAGCCCATTTGGGTTTGAGCTTGGCTTAAATTTCTTTAGATTTATTCAGGCAGCCCAAATAGGCCTCGAGCAAATAAAATATTATAAACTTTCAAGCCCAACCCTAACAATTTTTGGGCTTATTCGGATTGATCAAGCCCAAATTTTTACCTCTACTCTTATAGGATATAGGTGGTGATACATGTAGGTTTATTGTGTCTAACTTGTTTTTGTACATAATCAAAAAGTGCTTTGTTTTGGGGGGAAATAGTTGTATTTTTTAGTAATGACTCTAAATTTTAAATTTGAAAAAAAAAATTCTCCCAATTTATATTTTATTTACATTAGTTTTGTGGCAAATTGTGAGTGGTTAATTAGTGGAACTTATTCTAATAGCTTACCTCAAGGTCCAAAGTTTGAATTCTTTTGAGGAATAAATTAATTTTATTTAGTTTAAATTATGGAAAAATTACCAAAGTGCTCTTCTCTTTTATGTTATAAAAGGAAAATAAGTGGTAGGATAGCGTGTCATGCGAAAAGCAGAACACCACCCAGCCACATTTTACAGCACGATCATGTGTATGGGGGGTACACAGCCACCCACCCAATCCGAAACATTCTTCATCTGTGGCATACATACTTAGCAGTAGCGTATATTGTTTGTAGGTGCCTACATTCTTCTAGAACTGGATAATATTAGTGACTCTTGCCATCCCATGCTGCGTCCCCTGGGAACACCATCAACACGTACTGTATTACTTTGATTGCCATATTGCAACATTATGTGGTCATCAACTTAGCTTGTCTCTAAACACTGACATATTCTCTGCTGTGTTCCCTGCATTTTGAAAAAAATTCTCTGGATTCTTGGATTGTGTTATGTGCCATCGCTCTCCTTCCGTTCCTCTTCGATTCTCTAGATATTTCACGCGGCACCTCCAGTCATCGTCCTCCGATCGCCCCTCCTCCTTCCTCCAGCATTTCCTCTGCTTTTCACCACTGGTTTGGCTCGCCCTTGTGCTCTGTAATTCTGGGCTGATGTGAAGTGTGTGGCAGTGGTTTTGGATGTCCAAATTGTTGTCTCTTCTATCTTCTCCAGAAGCTTGTGTGACTAGGAGCATGGGCAATTGACTCTTCTTTTCCTTCTCGTGGTCGTCTGTGAGTGTGTATCTAAGGGGTGTGAGTTCTTTTGTCTTGTGTTTTGTCGTGGTTTTTGAAGAGGAAAACTGAAATTTATGCCTTATCTTACCAGCTGGATGTTGTTTGAGGAAAGTATTAGATATTCTAACGGATGCTTGATAGAAGACCTTGCTGGAATGAATGTTATTAAATTTCCAATTTATATCTTAGAGGTTTGTTGCTAAATCCTCCTCCCTGTTCAGCTGAGGTTTTGTTTCTTCTCCCTTTTCGTGCATCTTTGGTTCATTTAAAAATAGGCAGCTTTGATCCCTTCTTTTTCCATGGTTGGTTCTGCTACTGTCCGTGTGAATGTAAGAAATAATGACGTTGAAGTTGCAAAATTTTGTTATGAGTTCTGTTGCTGCTACCGTGATTGTGTGAGAAGGAGAGATGTTAAATTGAAGCTGAATTTTTAGTTTAGTGCTACCATGTGAAATGTGGAAGATTATGATTTAATTTTCTTAAGTTAAGACTGATTTATTCAATGAAAAAAAGGAAATTAGGAAGTTGATTTGTTTATTTATTTATATATTAGAGCATTTTGGGAGATGGAATCAGAGAAAAAGAAGTTGGTTTGAGCTTGTAAAAATTAGTTCATATAAGGTGTTTGACAAAAAAAATAAAGGAAGATGGTATTTTAATGGAATATTGAGCTATGGCTTTTGAGGGAGTTTTACCTGTAAAGTTATATTCTTAATATTTTAAACTTATTATAGTTAAATTTTTATGGTGGTAATGTTGGGAGGAAATAATTGAATTTATAGAATGTCTATTTAAAAATCTTAATTTAATTTATATGGTATTTGGAGGTGGAGAAATTTAATTGACATTGAGAGGTGAATTCTTAAATCTTGAAAATTTTAAATAAGTAGATAGCATCCCAACTAATTTTTCAATCAAAATTTTATTTACTAAAAAATTCAATCTGACTTTTCCATTTTTACAAGAGAAGCTCTCACAATGCTTTTTGACACTAAATATATATAGGAGTTGTTAAAAGAATAAAAAATAATATATAATAATAGAATTAAACATAAAATCTTTATGGAATCTATTAATTGACAGCATGGAATCTTCTAAGATTTCAAAGAATATAATGTAACTATAATAGATAGAGAATAAACATATATATGTATATGTACACAAGTGCATACCTGTAAATGAGTTGCTTGACAAAAATAATTCTTTCAAAGATGTGCAGTTACTTATTGATTTTGGAATGCCTCCTTCTAAATAATTATCATTAACAGCCAAGATTTCCAGCAAAGAGAGTTGTTGACACATTTCTTATGGCAAATTGCCATTTAAATGATTCCTTCCAAGGTTAACCTCTCTTAAAGAAGGCATGCTCCGAAGAAATGAAGGAATTTCACCTAAAAAAAAGAAAAATATTTAATTTATTTAATCGTTTAGACAAACTAGCTTATGCTTCAGGAATGAAAATATCTTCCAGTTAAACTGTTAGAGGCAATATAGAATAAGCACTACGTGTATAGATTAATGTGAAGGGTGCATTTAAAGCATGCATAATAATCGCAAGTGAAAGCTTTTTAACAGAAGCTCATAGCATAGACTAATCTTTTTCAAGTAAGGAAAAGTAGATCATTCCTAATTAACTTGCTCTCTAGGTAAGAACTAGGATTTGAACCCTTGATCATTTTATTTATTAGATAATTTATTATCATACCCACATACTATTTCAACGTAAGTTAATCAATATTAGTAGTCTTATTTTAAATAAATGAATGTATGAAAATGGTAAATTTGGACCCTTCAAAGTTCTAACATGTTATGATCTGTAAACATCTTTCATTTTATCTTTATCAAAAAAAAAATCAATCTGACTTTTCCATTTTAATGAGAGAAGCTCTCACAATGCTTTTTAACAATAAATAGTTATAGGTGTCATAAAATGAATAAAAAATATATAATAATAGAAATAAACATAAAAGCTTTATGAAATCTATTAATTGACAACATGAAATATTTTAAGATTTCAAAGAATATAATGTAACTATAGTAGAGAGAGAATAAGCATATACATATATATATATATATATATATTTATGAGAGAATTAAATGTACCATCAAAATTACTTTGCCACAATACTCTTCCTGTGAAGAGAGTGTCACGAGATAATATATATACAAGATATTATATTTTTTATAACATCGTTTTAAGACTTACATTGTGCTTCATGCAATAATTCTTAGTTATGTTCAATATTTGAATGGACCATGCTATAGGGAATGGTTATCTTGTTATTGAGACTTTATGTCTCACTCCCAATTACTAACCATGTTTGGTGGAAAGCTAACAAGAACAAGAAGGAAGAAGAATTCAAAGAATTAAGTAAATGGCACTTGATTGCCAAGTCGGAGACTTATATTTTTAATAACATGTAAATTTATTTGAGTTATATAAATTCACTAAAAAATAATAATATCCATCCTTCATATGTCTAGAGTGATAAAGCATGAATTCAAGCTATAGAAATTTGTTGGAGCTTCAATTTTGAGCGTGCAAGTATCATATTGTCTTCGTGCTTGATTATCTAAAGGTCTATTACTGTTTCATTAAAATGTTTACAATAAATGGACTCTTTTGACTCTGTTAATTTGTATGCATAATATAGACATCCCAATATTTCCAGAAAGTTCAAAACTGAATCAATTTCAGCTCTGTAGCCTGAGTTATTAATTTTATAATTGAAAGGTCAGAATCAGTCTTGAAAACAGAGCAACTTAAGTGAATGTAATAAATGTATCAGTTGGCCCAATTAAAGTCCTGTTTCTGTTTCTTATTTTTCTCATCTAGAGGGCTCGTCAAGGTTCAAAATGAACAAGAATCATGTCAAAATCAGTTTTGTATAATTAGTTATGAATTTTTACAGTTAAGGTACAGATTCTGTCCAAGAAACAGAGCAAGTTTAGAAAAGCAGTAAACTGTATCGTTTGGAATTAGTAAAAGCCATAAGTATATTTGTTTGAGGTAAAGAGCTTAAATAGATTTCAATAAAATTTTAGATCATCCTCATACAAATTCTCTAGATTTAGTTATGATTTTTTAAAGTTCAGCAAAAATTCTAAACTTACTCAGTAAACTGTAACTCAATGATTTTTTTTCTTTTACAAATTTTAATTCTTGGATTTCAAATTCCATTTCAGCCAAATCATATTGCTTCTAATTACAAAACAGAGGTGTTGAAAACGAGGATGTAACGTCACGTTTTTGGGTGTCATTTAATTTTTTTAATTTCATTATTATAATTTGTAATTGATTTCTTTAACGTATTTAAATATTTTTTGTTTATATATAATAATAAGAAAATGCACAACTCCAAACTTATCTGTATTTTAATGTAAGTTTAAAATTAAACTTACACATTGTTACAAAAACTATCAAATGTTATTAACTCTAGTATCATGTATAATACGGGACAAGATGTAATGATTGGGCTTGGGACATGCAGGCTTACATTGAAATGCTATGGTTAGAAGATTTACTTTTAAAAAAATTTAAGATTTTTATACAGTAATTTTATACAGTAATTATTGATATAAGATTATAAATAATGATACATAGTAAAATGTCAATCTTGTTATGGTATAATTGGAGTTATATTCATTAATTTATTGTTATTTCTCATGAAGTCACATCAAGCAATATACGTAAATAATACTATCCACCATTTTTTTCCTTTACTTTGCATATGAGATTTTTTTGTTTGTTAAAAATTAAATATTTTTATCGCTACACAAGTGACAAAGTACATACATATTTAAATGCATTTGACGACATGAAATACGATAGAAATTAAAAACTAAAAACAAAAACAAGAAAAGTTGGTTTTAGTATATTGCTAAAAGTATGTATATTGAAACAAAAATTCAAAACTCATCCATGTATATGGACATATCATGAATATAATTAAACTTATATTGGTAAAAAAAGAAAAAGAAAAATTGCATTCGAAAGGAAAATGTAGGGAAAATGAAAAATAAAAGGGAAGAGAGAAGCATCAAAATCCAAGTGGTCCTTTCTATCATCCCAATCAAAGTATATCATTATAGTGAAAACAAATAACGTAGATATTAAAAATCATCAAAATTAAACATTCTGAAAACTTTATTGTCACCTATAAGAAATAAAATCCTTTAAAATATAATCCTTCCAAAGATGTATAGTTACTTTTTGCATTTGGAAAAAGTTTCCATAATATAACTGATTTAAAATTTTATTTCACGATTACATAAGTCTGTGTCTTGTCAAAATATATGTGCGTGTAAACAAAATGATCTCATTTCAAATTTATTTATATCCAATAGAGTAGGAAGAAAAACAAACACCCATTCACCCCAACAGCCCAATCACATCCATGTATGTAATAGCACCAAAGTATAATTCTTCATATCATCTATGTCATTTAATCCATAACCACTTTGGAATTAAATGATCTAATATTTTAATCCAGAGCTAATTCGCATTTTATTCATAATCACTTTGGGAAAAACACACATATGTACACAAGTGCATACCTGTAAATGAGTTGTCGTCCAAATATAATTCTTTCAAAGATGTGCAATTACTTATTGATTTTGGAATGCTTCCCTTTAAATAATTATCTCCAACAGCCAAGATTTCCAGCAAAGAGAGTTGATGACACATTTCTTCCGGCAAATTGCCATTTAAATGATTCCCTCCAAGGTAAACCTCTCTTAAAGAAGGCATGCTCTAAAGAAATGAAGGAATTTCACCTAAAACAAGAAAAATATTTAATTTATTTAATTGCTTAGACAAACTAGCTTATGCTTCAGGAATGAAAATACCTTCCGTTTAAACCGTTGGAGGCAGTATAGAATAGGCACTGCATATATAGATTAACGTGAGGGGTACATTAAAAGCATGCATAATAATAGACAGTGAAAGTTTTTTAACAGAAGCTCTCACAATGCTTTTTAATAGGTAGCAAAGACTAATCTTTCCCAAGTAAGAAAAAGTAGATCATTCCAAATTAACTTGCTCTCTAGGTACGTGAGAACTAGAATTTGAACCCTTAATCATTTTATTTA